GACCCTTGGTCAAATGTCAGAGAACTTCGGTCTTGTAGTCAAATTAGCATAGCAAATGTTCGGGCGTTAGGTTGCTGACCAGTGGTCAACGGCCTGGCGATTAACTTTACCAGCTGGAGATTAGCATGACAAATGTTTCTACCGTAGAAACCAGATTACTGTAAGGGTCTACGACCGTTGGTCTAGTGGGAGGGCCACAAGTGACGCTGGGCGTGCTAAGTAGATTAGACGGACCCCGCTAGGGACGTTTAAAGTCAGTTATAGGATAGGGGTGTTATGGAGAGAGCGAGACTTTCACAACCCAAAGCACCTGTTGGGATCCCATCCAGTTCATTCAGCACAGAGGTCGTGGGGTTTTATCGGGGTCATTAACCCGTTAGTGTAGCATATGCGCTACACCGTGCAATAAGATAGCTATACTGCTTTTGGTATTCAAAGTGAGTTAAGAGGATGTAGTCATGATACATGGCTGCCATCAAGCCCTGGGTATACAGAAGCTATGATTTATTTCTGGCTTACTATGACTTATTTTTGTTAGCAACAAAGAACCCATGATTCGTTGTTTCATCAACCCAGGATTAGGATCTATGCGAGAGTTGGACAGTCTGCCATTTCAAAAATCCAAACAAAGCCATTGACCACGCCCCACAAAGCCCATGACCACGCCCCACAAAGCCCATGACCACGCCCCACAAAGCCCATGACCACGCCCCACAAAGCCCATGACCACACCCACAAAGCCCATGACAACGCCCACAAAGCCCATGACCACGCCTAATAAAACTTCAGCTCAACACCACCATCTCGTGGAACAAGTGAATGAAACGGGCGACATAAAATACAAGAACACAAAAAATGATGACTTAGCCGATAAAAGAAGAGCAGAATCACCGTGGGAATTAAAGTTCTGCATTTAGAGAACAACACAAAAGGTGGAAAAAGATCGACATTGAAAGTTAATTATGGAATGGTCGAGTCAGGTGACCCGACAACCGAGAAAAATTGACACAATTTTCGTAAAACTGTTAGCTGACGTAAGAAACTTGAAATCCTTCACAAATCAATTTCATCATGCTATTTACATCGTGCCAAGGTAAAATAACACAACGAGATATTCTAATCAAAGCCGTGATTAAAGTTTGTAATTTGTGTAGTATTTTTATCATAGCAAAATGTTTTCGTATTTCTCCATCAAGTAAATTTAGAGCATCAATTGATCAGCCCTGATGTTAGCCAATCCAAAATGTTCAACTTTCAACACACAATCTTTTAACATTACCGAAATCTAGCTGAAATCTAGTGATCTCATTGATAACAATTTAATCTTCTACACCGTTGTCACTGTAAATAAAAGTTGACAATACGTTGATAACAATGTGATCATTTGTTTCAAGATAAATCAATGTTCAGAATTTTGATAAAGGTGAGCGAATATTTCACTGCATACACGTGAAGCTAGTGAGGCATTGTCCTGCTTTAATTATAGCAACTAGAGGCAGACACATTGAAAAACAGACATATTTCTGGGCAGACAGATAGATTTGTTAGTCATACAGATATATTTAATTTATGAATAATGTAGTCGAGCGTCATGACCTCCCTCTGAATACCACAAGATGATTCTGTTTTCTCTAATCTGGTATTCTATCTATTGTTCAATCCTGGCTAAACTTATTGTCCATTCCTCCACACTGGCTAAGCTTATTCTGTCCAGGGATATAGTGGCCCGCCTGTCTATCGGGACCCCAGGAAAAAGCTCGGTAATCCCCCAGGAACGGTGCTGTAATAGTCCTTTTAAAGTTTTGATTTTTCTAACAGTTGGTATTTTTACCACTCCTTTATGCCATGGCGTAAATTAATAGTTTTGATGGAGATAAAAACATTGAAAATTTGAATCTCGAGGTTGGGGGCCCGTTTCAGGATTTTACAGGACTTCTTAGATTCTGCTTATTGTTCTACCCCAGCTAAACATATTGTCTATTGTTCTACCCCAGCTAATCATATTGTCTATTGTTCTACCCCAGCTAAACATATTGTCTATTGTTCTACCTCAGCTAAACATATTGTCTATTGTTCTACCCCAGCTAAACATATTGTCTATTGTTCTACCCCAGCTAAACATATTGTCTATTGTTCTACCCCAGCTAAACATATTGTCTCTTGTTCTACCCCAGCTAAACATATTGTCTATTGTTCTACCCCAGCTAAACATATTGTCTATTGTTCTACCCCAGCTAAACATATTGTCTATTGTTCTACCTCAGCTAAACATATTGTCTATTGTTCTACCCCAGCTAAACATATTGTCTATTGTTCTACCCCAGCTAAACATATTGTCTATTGTTCTACCCCAGCTAAACATATTGTTCTACCCCAGCTAAACATATTGTCTATTGTTCTACCCCAGCTAAACATATTGTCTATTGTTCTACCCCAGCTAAACATATTGTCTATTGTTCTACCCCAGCTAAACATATTGTCTATTGTTCTACCTCAGCTAAACATATTGTCTATTGTTCTACCCCAGCTAAACATATTGTCTATTGTTCTACCCCAGCTAAACCTATTGTCTATTGTTCTACCCCAGCTAAACATATTGTCTATTGTTCTACCCCAGCTAAACATATTGTTTATTGTTCTACCCCAGCTAAACATATTGTCTATTGTTCTACCCCAGCTAAACATATTGTCTATTGTTCTACCCCAGCTAAACATATTGTTCTACCCCAGCTAAACATATTGTCTATTGTTCTACCCCAGCAAAACATATTGTCTGTTGTTCTACCCCAGCTAAACATATTGTCTATTGTTCTACCCCAGCTAAACATATTGTCTATTGTTCTACCCCAGCTAAACATATTGTCTATTGTTCTACCCCAGCTAAACATATTGTCTATTGTTCTACCCCAGCTAAACCTATTGTCTATTGTTCTACCCCAGCTAAACCTATTGTCTATTGTTCTACCCCAGCTAAACCTATTGTCTATTGTTCTACCCCAGCTAAACATATTGTTTATTGTTCTACCCCAGCTAAACATATTGTTTATTGTTCTACCCCAGCTAAACATATTGTCTATTGTTCTACCCCAGCTAAACATATTGTCTATTGTTCTACCCCAGCTAAACATATTGTCTATTGTTCTACCCCAGCTAAACATATTGTCTATTGTTCTACCCCAGCTAAACATATTGTTTATTGTTCTACCCCAGCTAAACATATTGTCTATTGTTCTACCCCAGCTAAACATATTGTCTATTGTTCTACCCCAGCTAAACATATTGTCTATTGTTCTACCCCAGCTAAACATATTGTCTATTGTTCTACCCCAGCTAAACATATTGTCTATTGTTCTACCCCAGCTAAACATATTGTCTATTGTTCTACCCCAGCTAAACATATTGTCTATTGTTCTACCCCAGCTAAACATATTGTCTATTGTTCTACCCCAGCTAAACATATCGTCTATTGTTCTACCCCAGCTAAACATATCGTCTATTGTTCTACCCCAGCTAAACATATCGTCTATTGTTCTACCCCAGCTAAACATATCGTCTATTGTTCTACCCCAGCTAAACATATTGTCTATTGTTCTACCCCAGCTAAACATAGTCTATTGTTCTACCCCAGCTAAACATATCGTCTATTGTTCTACCCCAGCTAAACCTATTGTCTATTGTTCTACCCCAGCTAAACCTATTGTCTATTGTTCTACCCCAGCTAAACATATTGTCTATTGTTCTACCCCAGCTAAACATATCGTCTATTGTTCTACCCCAGCTAAACATATTGTCTATTGTTCTACCCCAGCTAAACATATTGTCTATTGTTCTACCCCAGCTAAACATATCGTCTATTGTTCTACCCCAGCTAAACCTATTGTCTATTGTTCTACCCCAGCTAAACCTATTGTCTATTGTTCTACCCCAGCTAAACATATTGTCTATTGTTCTACCCCAGCTAAACATATCGTCTATTGTTCTACCCCAGCTAAACATATTGTCTATTGTTCTACCCCAGCTAAACCTATTGTCTATTGTTCTACCCCAGCTAAACATATTGTCTATTGTTCTACCCCAGCTAAACATATCGTCTATTGTTCTACCCCAGCTAAACATATTGTCTATTGTTCTACCCCAGCTAAACCTATTGTCTATTGTTCTACCCCAGCTAAACATATTGTCTATTGTTCTACCCCAGCTAAACATATCGTCTATTGTTCTACCCCAGCTAAACATATTGTCTATTGTTCTACCCCAGCTAAACATATCGTCTATTGTTCTACCCCAGCTAAACAAAGCCCCGTGGCCTGACCACTTCCGGCTACCAGTGTGTGAAAGACAATGCGTATCTGGCTAAGGCTTGCCTTTGATGTCCACTTTCCATTATCTTCCTAAATTGTTTGCTACGGCCAGGATGAAATACGGCCAGTCTACAAGACCGGACATTACAAAAATCTGGCCATCAAAGAACAGGCCAGACAAACTGCAGACGTCAGCTGGTCAAATTGTTGGCCTCGGGAAAATCAACTGGCTCAGGGCAAATAGGGCGTTGGAAAGGAGGGGGTGTTAATACAAGAGGAGTAGGGAGGAGGGGGTGTTAATACAAGAGGAGTAGGGAGGGGGAGGTCAAACTAGTACAGAGTAGGGAGAGTGAGGTAGGACTAATACGGACTAAGGACTAGCCAATCATTCTAGGCGTGGTATTTCCTATCCCGGATTTATGAGATTTGCAGACGATAATTAAATTAGTTTTGTAATTTAACGTAATCTCGTCCTACTTATATTGCGGTGGTGGGTTGAGTTGGGTTATAGAAATTCGAGAAAGTTCCTTACATAAGATGGCAGAAAATGTGTCAGCTAAGTTTGAGGCGTGTTTGTCTTGTAAGTACTTCAGCACACTGTTGAGTACTGCCTCACTAGCGTACTTTAGCACACTGTTGAGTACTGCCTCACTAGTGTTCTACAGCACACTGTTGAGTACTGCCTCACTAGCGTACTACAGCACACTGTTGAGTACTGCCTCACTAGCGTACTTCAGCACACTGTTGAGTACTGCCTCACTAGCGTACTTCAGCACACTGTTGAGTACTGCCTCACTAGCGTACTTCAGCACACTGTTGAGTACTGCCTCACTAGCGTACTTCAGCACACTGTTGAGTACTGCCTCACTAGCGTACTTCAGCACACTGTTGAGTACTGCCTCACTAGCGTACTTCAGCACACTGTTGAGTACTGCCTCACTAGCGTACTTCAGCACACTGTTGAGTACTGCCTCACTAGCGTACTTCAGCACACTGTTGAGTACTGCCTCACTAGCGTACTTAAGCACACTGTTGAGTACTGCCTCACTAGCGTACTTCAGCACACTGTTGAGTACTGCCTCACTAGCGTACTTCAGCACACTGTTGAGTACTGCCTCACTAGCGTACTTCAGCACACTGTTGAGTACTGCCTCACTAGCGTACTTCAGCACACTGTTGAGTACTGCCTCACTAGCGTACTTCAGCACACTGTTGAGTACTGCCTCACTAGCATGCTGTGACGTCTGTATCTGTTCCAGCTAAAACTTACCAGTGAAATCTAACTGTGACGTATTGCTGACGTCATAACGTGGCTAGTTCAAAAGACCCAATGTTGGCTGGCCGTGTTTTAAATTGGAATCAGGTCTTGTCTGGTAAAAAATTTCGTCACTAGCAGGTCAACGACCTGCGCTAGGTGTCGTCTGGTGCCTGTGGGTGAACGGTATACCTGGCGTTGTCATGGTTACACCACAAGCGTGACGACAGATGACTCCAGTACTAACCAGTGATACATCTTGTCAACTAGCACTGACAGTCTTACAACTAAAAGTGTTTCCTTCATCAAAGAATCCCACATTCTATGTATTTTCTTACTCCATACAAGCCAACTTTCAATGTATTTTTTTACACCCCCCCCCCCCCCATATAGTCCAACCTCCAATGTGTTTTCTTACCCCCATACAAGCAAACATCCATGTATTTTGTACCACCCTCCAAGCCGATATACCATGTGTTATCTTCCCTCTAACATCCAACCTTCTAGCCAGTCAAGATGTGACATAAAAGTACAAAATAACGGAAATTTGATTCCAATATTCAAATTTAGCAAGCCAAACCCCTCCCTTCCCCCACTCTCCCAGTCTTTGTTTAGCAATTTAAAATTAGAATTTCCCGTGCTCCGTACCCAATTGAGATCCACTTTCACGAGTCAGGAACTCAAATTTGCGATTCTTCTATTAATACCTCATGTCAAACGGCCACGAATCTCTGGAATAAACGAATATCAGAGTCGAGGCTAGAGAAACTTATGAGTGCTACGGTATGCAAATAGTTGACACGCGAATATTGAACAGACAGAATCTAAAAACTACAGAGATGATTTGTCATGCAAATACAGACTTACACACAGACAGACACTTATACAGAGACAATCTATGTGTCAGTGATTCTTTCAGACACTATTCTCTGAGGGTGTAGAGGAGGGGGGGGGGGGGAACTTGTAACCCTCGGGTGTGGGTGCACTTAAATTTTCCGGGGGTGGGGGTGGATACTGATTAAATTATACGAGCTGAGCCGCGGCGTATCATACGCCGCTATTTATTTGTTTTATTATCTTTAGTAGATTGTAGTTAGTGAATTCGACACTACCCTTCCTTCCATTCATTCCAGCCCCCCCCCCCCCCCGCCACCGTGAAAACAGCCGTCCGTGACGACAGTTTACGGACTTACGGACAACAATGAAAAGATCAAGCAGAACTTCTTACCTCTCCTACGTTTCAAATCGTTTAAAAGCTAAATTATCTGCCTCTAATAGCCCTTATGAATTTGACCCGGCTCTACGATTGTAAACATTCGGGGTGATCTTTAGATCACCAGAATGGTGGAAGTGGGGGGGGGGGGGGTAGCTATATGGCTAGAGAGCGGAGGAGTAACGGCGTGCGTTTACGTGGTGGTGTCTCGCATGGTCCCCATGAACAGAATTATATATACGAGCCGACCCGCGGCGTATCATACGCCGCTATTTAGTTGTTTTATTTTCTACTTTTCAGTGATTCATAATTTGTGAATTCGACAATACCACTGCTGTCACTGAAAATATTTTCTTTATAACACTATCAGTAAGTCGTTAAGGAATATAACCCCCCCCCCCTCCTGCCCCCACCCCCCGTGAAAGCAGCCTCCTCTTAGCTACCTCCCCTAAGTTTAAAAATCGTTCCAAACTAAATTATCGGACCCTAATAGCCGTCACTAAATCCGGCTCTACGAATGTAAACATGTAGCGTGAACCACAGCTCACCAGACTTCCTAGAGAGGAAGAGAGGGGACTTCAATGCGCGCTTACAGCTTGTTTTCAAACGTCTCCTAGAAGAGAATTATATATATAGATAGAAGATATTTTCTATATCAATTATATATTTATTCTATTTTGTCCGGGCTGAGGAGAGGGGACAGCGGTGGACGTGTTCCAGGGGGGGGGGGGGGGGTGGGGGTGCCTGAAAGAAACTATCCCCCTTCTCTCTTTCTCTCGATCGCGGTACACTGATCAAGTCAATAACTTATGGACAAAACAAATTATATATGGAAGTCATACTAACAATTATCTTCTTTTGTCTGCTTTTTATCTACCTTCTTAACGTCTTATATTGAGATCACTAAAGAAGACTTTCAAGTGGGCAACAGACAAACAGGCAATTAAAGCAGACAGAAACAACAGACCTACGGGCTAATCCTCTAGTATAATCTAACCCACATGTGTTGTTGTGATGTGGTTCATTATTCCCCAGTCGGGTGTTGCTGTATCGTATCGCCATGGTAGCGATCGAACTGGCTCTGGTCAATGTCTAAGAGATACGTGTCTATTGTCTAGAACAGAGATCGATTGATTGATTGCGTGTTGCCTGCCGATTTGTGCACCGCTTAACGAAAATTTGGCCACCTCACGCGCTTCAAACAATTGTCACAAGTCAAATATTCGTTGACAGACAGTCATAAATAAAATGTAAAAAATCTAAACAGCGGGGATCATAAAAATTGAAGTAAAGTGAAATACCCAATCGAACCTTGTGGTCCCTGGCAGAGGCGCCCGGGGACAAACTTTTAATTTGGCGCCCCCCCCCTTCAACTTTTCGATTTGCACACTCCCCCCCCCCCCCCCCCCCCTCAAACCTCAAACTATTTATAATGCAAAAAATGCATCTAAAATGACATTTTAATTTGTTTTTACAACCCATTTTGGCGCCCCCTAAGGTCGGCGCCCGGGGACATATGTACCCCCCTGCCCCCCCTCCACCCATCGCTACGCCTCTGGTCCCTGGGCAGGTGAAGTAGAATCCATCTGTCTCAGTTAGCTCGGCATATGAAGAGATAGTGTGGTCAGCACTATGCCCAGCCGCCTTTACTTTCCCTAACGAGAGTCAGGTACCCATCAGAGCTGGGTGAACTCATTGATGTCCTGCGGAAGTACAAGACTTTAAACTTTCTATTCTAAGGACGTATGATGTTTATGACTTTATTTTAACTACAGAATAGTTTGTTTCCTTAATTTTAGAGCAATAAAATATTTTCATACGAGTTTTACTTTTATAGCTACCGTCACGCATCGCCTCACTCACACCTACACTCACCTCAATACGACAGTAAACAGTTCTCGAACCCACCACAACACACAACACCCTCCCCAACACACAACCCCCATCCCAACACATAACACCCGACCCTCCCCAACACACAACACCCTCCCCAACACACAACCCCCACCCCAACACATAACACCCGACCCTCCCCAACACACAACACCCTCCCCAACACACAACACCCTCCCCAACACACAACCCCCACCACAACACACAACACCCGACCCTACCTCCACAAACACAATATCCACTCCTCCCTCCCCAACACAATAACACCCACCGCTGCCTCCCTTCACACCCCTCCCTTCCTAACACCAAAAGCTTCCACCCCCTCCCCAGCACACAACATTCACCCGAACACACCAAGCTCACCCCAACATACAAGCACCCACCCCTCTCAATTAAAGATATACCCTAACACCAGCGTGATATCAGCAAGAATCCTTAAATCATTTTAATTTCATAGAAAAACAAACGTGTTGATTACTAGCCTTCACATTCAAAAAATTTCCGCGGTCCTACAGAAGTGAACCTAATGACGCGTTTCCGGTCACGTGTCCTGTCGTCTGATAGCATGCACCACGTGACTTATTTAAAAATTCGGAATGTCATCTTAGATTAATTTTACCGTCTGATTTCTTCAATCTTAGGATAGATTAGCTTTGATCTTTTTACGAATGACAGGATAGCGGACTTGCACAGTATGCCAACATTTCAAGGTTTTAGAAAGTTCATTAATTTAAAAAAAAAATCAATGATGTTAACCCGGAACTTATACCGGATATGACGACCTATAGAGGACAAACGCCTTACACGGATTCTTTATCCGGTACAGATATTGATCTGACCTTCCAATGGTTTGATTGATTGGGCCATCGATCAGCCTACACGACATCAAGACATATTTAGCCCTCACGAGAAAACATGAGCGTCTTGGGTTCCAGCTTACAGGAAGTGACGTGTGGCGCCAGAAACATGGCCAGATCTTTTTCGTACTGAAACCTCTCTAGATACCGAGGCATATTTCTCAACCTTATGGAACTGTCTAAATTCTGTTTTAATTGGCTCAAAATTCTTAAAAATTTCAAAACCTCTTTTTTTTTTACATGTCTAATCTTATGCTATCCCAGGATTCGGACCAATGCTGAGGTCACGTTAACCTTAGAAATATAGAATATTCTATCTACAGGGGTTAGGCTCTGGAGAAAACGAAAAAAAAACATCTTAATTAATAAGACTTTTTAATTTATTTCCTGTGTATCTAAGTTAGGGTACTTAAGGGAAGATATTTGCATGGATCACGGACTCTTTAGAAAATAAAGTTGCCGTGGTCACGGCGGTCATCTTGAAAAGACAACTTTTTGTTGAGGTCTTAAGGTTAAAAAACTAATATATTAATTGATCATTTAATTATTGATTCTTTCTTTTACTAATTCTAATTTAGCCAGCTGGCTAGTTTTTGTAATAGAAAACACTTTAGAAATATTTCTTCCGAATGCTAGATTTAAGAAAATAAAAATGCCCTTGCACAATTTTTTTGTGCTCAGTTTTCCGTTGCGCAGTTTTCCGGTTACCTAAAAATGCAAACGACACCTTGAACATTAATGTACCGACATGACCCTCATTGTGAGACACCACCAACTGACGTCATTGCGATTCCACAAACATATCTCTCTGATTTATTCCTACTTGAGATAAAAATATGCTGGATTTTCTTTAATTTAATTATTTGTATGTTATATATTTTTTTACAGAGTAATTAGCAACTGCGTTTGTAACTTAGCCGGACTTAAAAAATAACTAATTACCTTGCTCATTAGGGCCCGGTTGATTTACGACATGCCATAGCAGCGACAGGGGCTGTTGACTTGCAAGGCTCTCTGGGATAGCGT